GGCGGGGCCTGCCGGGGGTGGGCGGGGCCTCCGGGCAAGCCCCTCCCCGCCCACCGTCCCCTCCCCCCAGAGCCAATGAGCTGCCGCTGAGGGCCCCAGCGCCGGCCGCCGCGAGGGGGAGGGGGGCACGCCCGTCACGTGTCCCAGCCATGGGGGTGGGTGATGGGCAGGTGGGAAAGGCGGGGCTCCCTGACCTAGATTTGACCAATGGCACGGCGGCGGGAAGGCGGGGCCTGACCCAGTTTTAGCCAATGGGAGGCGGCGGCAAGGAAGGGAGGCCTCAGGGGCTGGGAGCACGTGGGGCAGCACGTGTGGCCGGACCCAGGCGGCGGGGAGGCCAGGTCTTAAAGGGGCCGCACGGGGGGATGAGTGTGGGAGTCCAAGGGGGAGGAGACAGATCGGTGCACCCACCCCCCAGTCGGGATTGCCCAGGCGTCCGGGCTTGTGCTCCTCGGGCAGCTGCGGCCTTGCTCCCTCTAGGTTTGCTGGCCGCCGCGGAGATGCCGCTACCCCTGGGGAGGGGGTGGTGCCGGGCGCTGCCCTTCTGCTGAGACTTAGAGGGTCTGGGGCTGGGCGCCTGGCGCAGCACCCAAAAGGAAACAGAAACGGCCTGTCCTGGTCCGTCTGTCTTCTCCCGGCTGCCCCGAGCTGGGCCGGACACAAGTCTGGATGTCATTAGAGCTAGCCGCAGTGCTGGCCAGGGTTGGGGGGAGCCAGTGGTTGAGCCCAGAGGGCCTGTTTCCCCCCCACCCTTATTTCAAGGTGAGGACACTGCTTTGGGTTTCTTTTCTTCTTCTTCTTTTTTTTTTTTTTTTTTTTAAAATAATCTTCATACAATTTTATTTAAATTTCAGACAAAGTTCTTCCCCCTCCCCCCACCCCTGCAGCAAGACCCCCTGAAAAATCATCCTCTACCCCTAGGGCCCCCTCTCTTCTGACTAACTTGACTGCCAGAAGGCAGGTTACCCCATCCTCTTCTGCCTGGGGGTGGTGGTGGGGAGCAGTCATCCCTCATCCCAAGCCACACACTGTACCTTGGAGGCCTGGGCTCAGCCTTCTCGTTCAGGATTTGGGAGGGCTTGCTTAATGGGGTGCAGACCCCATGTTCTGAGTCTGACCCCAAGCAGCATCTGGGATGCCACCAGCTGTCAAGGCCTGAATGACCCTTTTTATCCCCTCTCAGACTTGAGATGCACTGAGTTAAGGGGGTTAATCCAGCCCCTGGAGGCAAACTTTAAGACAAGGACCCTCTCCCTAGTGTTGGGATGCAGGGCTGATAGCCACCATCAGCCCCGGGGACAACTCTAGGGGCATTCTGATCTCTGAACTGTGGGGTATGGTCCCTCCACAGCTAAACTGGGGAAGCCTTGGAAGAGAAGGCAGTACTGAGACAGACACCCACACCCTCATTCCACCCCAAAATCTACCTCCGAACAGTGACCCAGCGTAGCACCTGTCACTTCAGGGGATAGGGGATGGCATCATGGTTAGGGGGAAGGGGCTGGGACCCTCATATTGTTGGGGACTCCCCGGTTGCCCCTGTGGAAAGGGGCCTGTTGTCTGGTCAGAAGGTGCAGGAACTGCCTGCTAGCTGACAGTTTGGGCAGGTCTGGCACCATCCACTGCAAGAGAAGAAGGAAAAAGGAGGGTTAACAGAACAGGAGAAATGACCTAAGCTACAACTACTGCAAGGGGATGGGATGTGGGAACCCGATGCACTGTTCCCCCAACCCCCCTCCCTCCCCCCCCACCAGGATGCCTTGGTTCTATCTCTGTGCAGGGAGGGGAGTGGGGTCTGCTGGTTCCCTGGGAGTGGGGGGAAAGA